TTGTTGCAAAGAAAATCGGCTTTGGAATGAGGAATATGATCCCATTCATCACGAGTTGGCATCGCTTCGCAGATTTGGTATGCCTTTGTATTCTCATCTTCCATTAGAGTCACGCCGTCAGACCTGGACCTAGATCTGGAAGCTGTCACGCTCTTGGAAATCGACTTGCGGATACCCGAAGAAACAGCCTTTGTGAGCTTTTGTGGATCATCCAACGCACAAATCTCAAATGGAGTCCCACTTTCACCGAAGCAGCGAATCATCTTGTCACATTCATTGTTGATGCGACCAAAGTAAAGATCCATTTCTCCTTCCTCGTGAACTTTGGTCTTCAGCATCTTCAGCTCGGATTCAATGCAAATGCCCGGAGTTCCATCAGGGTGGTAGTCATCACCAGGATACGTGTAGTCGTGATATTTAGTTCCATGGCAGGGGTAGTCGCAGATAAGGAAAACGACCCTAGACGTCTGATTCCAGGATAGACCATTTGTTTTTTGGATTGCTCCTGCCACGTCTTCGGGTGCATCCGCGCCCCCTTCAGCAACCAATTTTGCAACGAACGATTCAAAATCATTGATGGAAGTGGTAAAGTCCAAAACTTCGAACCGGTTTGCATCCGAGATGTCTCTGTATCCAACGACTGCAACACGGAGGTTCAAATCAGGATTGGTGTGCATCACTCTTCGAGCAATATCTTGGATCGACGATTTCGCTGCTTCAATGTACCTCGCCATACTTCCAGTACAATCAAGAACAAAAGCCAAATCGACTGCCTCGGCCTCTCGAACAAAACGAAGTACAGTCCGAACATCGGTTTCCTTGGTCGCGTCCATCAGTTTGTAGGTTTTTGCCTTAGACATTGAACGGACCATTTCGTCATTTTGGCTCTTGATGGAAGATTTCGAGGCTGCGATTTTTGCTTTGAGCAGCTCCAATTCCGCGTCCATCTTAGAAAGGCGCTCCATTTCCTCTTTCGTTGCTGTTGACAATTTAACTTTCTCGAGTAGTGCTGTCAACTCACCCATTTGACCTCTGACTCTTTCCGCAAGCGCCTCGTAGTGCTCTTCCTCGTCTTTGAGCTTGGCTTTGATACCAGAGGCCTCCTTCTCTGCCACGGAAGCTTCTTCTGCGGCAAGAATTCCTGGGTCTTCCCAGATGTCGACGCCTGCCCAATCATCGTCGAGGTCAATAACCGTAGAGAGGTGATGCATATCTAATTAACAGTAAGTTGATGAGAAGGCCTTTCGACAACGATCACTTTATTTCGAGGGAGACATTATGAGAGTCGATCGGTAAGGTTGTGGTGACGGACTGCGACTCCAGTCTGCTCCAATTCAGACAGATCCAATCTCGCACACCAAAATTCAATCATGTGCGATTGATATACTGTTACATACCAAACTCCCAATCTTTCTTTCAAATTTACTCCGGGTACATCAATTTACTTCGTACTGGAGTACAAATTTAATCCGTGTGGGACTCGTGGAAGCACGTCAAAAGTATTCAGGCGAGAGGTACAGATGATTGAGCTCTAAGTGTTTCATCGAAATCGTTCCCTTTCCCATACAAAGAAGACCGAGCGCATAACTGAATAATCGTGATTCTTGTTTATTGAGATGTATACTCTCCCTGATAGGAAGTTTTAACATGTATCTATCTACAGAAAAGGAATCAAACTTCGAAAACAAAAGACTTCCTTCCTTGGTTCGGCTTTCGATTCGGATGGCATTTGGCTGAAAGACAAATTTTCAAGCAAGGCCTTTGTCTGTGTTCTGCATTTCTTCATGTAAGCTCCGTTGCATTGGTTCACAGTTGTGCATCCACCTCTCTTCGACAAAACGGTTGGAGTAGTCAGGATGAAGACATTTTCTTCTTTTTTGAAACTACCGTGGAGTCCGACAACCATCAAATCGCCCCCTGACAGTTTGAAAGTGGTTTGAACGAATCTCAATAAGCTCTCGTCCACCACCAAAGACTCGTTCCATTGCCCAGAACAATCGCAATAACGCTGAAACTCATCCGATTGAACAAAATCTTCCGCGAAAAAAAGTCTGGGTTCCGATGCCTTCTCTTCTTCCACCACCCAACCATTTACAAAACGCAATTTTGCACAATGATCTGGACGATGACATTTGTTGTATTCGTTTGCCAAAAATTGTGCAATGCGCGAGACAAATGCCATAGCTTCGTAGCGTTTCCTGCTTTGTGGATCCGGTCTCAGTTTTAAGTAGTCCGCCAACAGTACCTTCATCCAAATGTCTCTATTTGGAAGAACTTTCCCTACACAAGAGAATGTTCTCCCGGATGAATGTGATTTTCTGCCATCACGAACAACCGTGCGCTTTCTCCCAAAAAGAAATCTCCCTTTTTCGGACAAGATACTTTGAATTGACACTAGGATCCCAGCCTTCCAAACTGTTGCATTGAAACATTCAGGCTCGGTGGTGTTGGCTCTTTTCGAATCCAGCAGATTATTACGTAGTTGCTGTTGCTGCGAAAAGCATACCTTTCTTTCGACGCTGTCTAAGTCATGACGCAGACTGAGCATGATTCCCTTAATCAATTCCTCGTCCTGAACGATGAAAGAAGCCATCTTCTTCGCGTTGAGAAATTGAAATGTATGGAAATCGTGTTCCTGCGACCCTAAAGCTTGTATCAAAAGATCATTATGGTGAAGCCATGTAGCAACAAGGATCTTTGGAGGATCAAATTGCCATCGCAAAGAGTTCCGAAGATTGCTCATCAACTCTGATGACACAATCTTCTTGTCCTCGTCTTCGACCCAAGAAAGATTTCCAAAAATGTAGAGAAATCTGTTGGAATTGCTGTTCCATTTGAGCTTCTTGAGTCGCTTTAGACCTTGTAGGAGACTCTCCACCCCGCAATCACCCACCTTTTGACTGCGGAGTTCAATCTTCAAATCTTTGAAAAACTCGAGAAACTCATTTTTCTTGGAAGTGAACGGATGGCGCTTCGCTGGAGTCACGAGACAAATGGAAAGTTCCTGCTCCGTAGATGATACAAGGTCCCAAAATGTATCGAGCGTCGCTAAAAGCGGGGGTAGTAGTTTGGCCATGGCAGAAGTTGTATTGTCAAATAGGATGCAAACGTTGAGGGTCGCGAGTCGAGTTGTAGCATGCTCTTTGGATGATTCATTTTTGCCTGATGGTCCAGCAGAAAATGCTGGAATCGATCTTTCAATGGTACCTAAAGTTTTAGTCGTTTTTCCCGTAGTCTTTTGCAGCTTTTTCAGAGGTTTATTCACAGCGATTGGCTCAACTTTGATAGCTTCATTTTTCGGAATCAAGCTCTTCTTCAACAACTCGATATCTTCCACTAGTTTTTCTAGTCCAATTTGTTCTTTTTTCTCAAATTCGCACTTCGACGTGAAATCGGTGCAACAATGCCGAGGGATGTGGGCTTCCGGGTGGGTTGCTTCTTTGTTCGAAAGAGCTGTCATGTTGTAAGGCGGCACGCTATATGATTCTGCGGCCCAACCTCCATTTCTGGACAGTCTAACAACATTGGAAGTACCCAAATGCGACCAGCAGCTTTCGGATACCTTGCCTGATGCCTTCTTTGCTTCCAATTTTCCTTGGTCTTGTGCGAGACTTTGGCTACGAGCGCAGCAAACGTCATCTGACTCTTGCAGGGAATATCGACGGTCAATTGCTGGTCGTCCAGCAGTCTCTTTTGCGGATACAACTTCGGCATATGATGGTGGTGACGTAAAAAATGGGAAAGATTGATTTGATTTGCACTCGAACCTTTTCGTGGGCAGTGACGACGCCACAGTGGCCGCCCAACTCCTACCCTTGGCATTTGCAGTTTTAAGGGGGAAGGAGCTATTCAACATACAATCACCAACGAACAATGCCATTTCATTCTTAGTATCAGCAACATTTAGAGCGATTGATTTATCAACGCTACTAGTGCAAGGTTTTGACCAGGATTTCACTTCAACGACATTTGTAATGCTCATGTCGATGCGAGATTGAGTCATCGGTTGCACGTTGGTGTAAGTAGCATCGATGGTACCTGTTGAGGACCATCCACTATACTCCAAAACTGGGTTGCAATGTGGCTTCATCGCATCCTGCATTTCGCAGTCGGTGTCCATCATATCAATATCCAAATACCCTATTTCGTACGCTGCGTGGATGTCGGGCATTTCTTCGTCGCGGTTAATTTTGGCGATGGGTTGTTCAGCGTTCAACTCTAGCAGCGACATGCTTTCATCGTCGCTTGAGCTAAGAGAACGGTAATAGTTGCTTCTGCTACAAAAATTTGACATTTTTTGATAAGTTGGCTGGGGGCACGCTGTATGCTGTACTATGTTCCGAGCATAAAATGGAGGATTTGATCTGCAATAAACTCTCTTCTGTCAATCCTCTCAACAGAGTGGTAGACCTTCCATTTTTCTGATTCCAGGAATATCAGCATCTCCAACAAGATGGAAAAATCACTCTTGTGGGATCCAAAGGGAGGCATACTGTGTTTCAATCACCGATCCAACCAACTGTTCACAGATCAAGGACGTGCCGACTCCGATAACTTCTAGCAGGGGACCACGTAACAACTAGGGCACATGAAAGGAACCAAATCACTCCCGTGTTGCTGTGTGAGATGAAAGATTTTTTCAAGGTCCCCCGAGAGTGCCACAAAAATGTGATGTATGTCTTTTTTAAGATTGCGTCGTAAGATTGCCGTTGGTTCACTCTGTTACGTTGAGAGAATATTCGACCACACATCGATCGCTTCAGCACATGGTCGTTGGTTGCAATGATGGCTTCGGTGTATTCCAGGTACAGAGGGTGTTCCGGTCGAGAAACTTTGACGGAATGCAAAAAGGCGACAACCGTACGGTAGTTGAAAGAGCTGCGGACCATTCGTCGTTCCCTTTGTGGAAAGATCTATTCTCACTTGACACCCTCGATGAATGTTACTACATATGTTGATCGGAAGCTGGCAGCTAATAAAAACGGTCGGCGGAAAAAAAACGACACCAACAAGATTCGAACTTGTGAGGCATGAGCCAGAAGATTTCAAGTCTTCCCCGTTAACCACTCCGGCATGGTGCCGCACGAAACTAATTGAAATAAGCAGAAATTTTAATACTTCAACTCTTTTATTCCAAGCCGCCGAAATGAGATCAGACTCCCTCCTTGAGTGCACTACTACGACGTACTCTAGTACCCGTACTACCGTAGCTAGCTACCGTAGCGACTGACTGTGAATCACTGTTCAATTTCCAAAGCTGTTCAAAAAATGTGCTACAGTACACAACAGATTTAGTTTTTTTCCCTCGGGAAGGATTTTTTTAGTTTCAGCTTACCGTAATTCATCAATCATTCATTACTGTATGCCCTATGTATTATTTCTTCTATTAGATTGACAGCTGATTATACTCCTTGTGCCTAGTCAATTCTAGGTGCATGCATTCCTGTTGGGTCCCTTGAAGTCTCGTTGATGGATCCAAGCATTGGCTACACATGGGGTGAGATGGTCAACAAACCAGAATCAATCAATGCATAATTCAAATTTAGTTTCTTGCTTACCTCCATATTTGACACCTTTGATAACCTTCAAAGCAGTATGGACAGTTCTGGGATCTTTCTTGTTTGGATCTTCATCATAGACTGATGGCCAAAGGACTGCACGACCCCTCTTGGGAGTGACTGTCATGTCTACAAGAAGAAAATGAGTAAGCAACAATATTCTCTTTAAGGATCGATGATCCATAGATGAAAGGCCCAGCGTAAAACTTACTGAGAGCTGGGAATCTTGTACCACCTCCTTCCTCAACGTCATTCAAATACCTTTGGTGAAACAAAAAATAAATCAGTGTCAGATTCTATCATGTAGTGATCTCTGGCTTGCCCTTCCACGTTTGTACATACATGTAAAAGGTCAAGATGCGAACTCCACATTGTCGATCTTTTTGGTAGGGAATGTAATCGCTGTGCTCTTGATAGTACTGGTCGGGCTCGTATCGAAGCAGCTGAAGATTTTCCGAGTTTGTTTCTGGAATGGACGTGATTTCTTCGATACGGCGAACTACCCCAATCGCAATTTCATCTTCCATACACGATCCAAGACACCAAGCGTTGGTGGAAGTTCTTCCAGAGTTGATATTCTTTGCAAACGTTCCATCCTCTTTTTGTTCACCGACGTCTGAAGATCGTTCATATCCTTGTTTGGCACCAAGATCAATCAATCGTTGCGCCTCTTCTTCATTGAGGATGTTCTCAAACTGGATCAACCAAGGACCATCTGGCGGACGTGACAGTGCCACTGGTTCGTACTTTTGATAACGCTCCTCTGTAACGATTCGTTCAAACAAATGATTGACGTCTCCAGGCTTCGAAAACGCATCGACCGCGTCAGGATCCAACGGACATCGCGTCTCGACATGTAGCTTCTCGCATGTACGGCAGACAGGAGCACATTTCATATGCATATACTGTAGAAGAGAGAATAGTTTCGACATGAGTGAGCAGTTTATGTTTGGATTCTTTTTTAAGTCCGATACGGCAACCTCACGCATCCCGAAACCACTTACGCCGGGATTGTTGTCACATTCGCCGACGACACTCCAAAAGGCACAACTAGGATGCATGTTCCTGCAAAGGTGTTGAATACTAGAGAGCTTCTCATCATTTCGAATAACTTGTTCGACATAGACTCGAGCATCTTCGATTCTCTGGTAGATTTCCTTGGAGTGGCTGGGATCCATATGTTGTGGTTCCCCCAGGTCCCTGCCGATCCCTTCATATGTTTTTGGCGCCGGAAATGTCAAGTTTTGTGGGTACACGACACTTGCTTCTGACACAAAATCTTTGGCTTCGAATTCTGTTGCTTCGAAAAGGACGGTCTTGACCTTGCTTTCATCTTCGTCCGCGAAGGATCTTGATGCGGCAGCTCGCAGGACCGATGTTGCGAACACGAACAGAAAGAGCCTCATGGTCAAAGTTAGAGTTGCGTTTCCGGGGGGGGATTTATTGAAAATGGAGGAGAGCCATGGTCATTCTGGGCATACATGTAGGGTATTAATCTTGGTTTTGGTTTTTGCCTTCAACTACGGTTCGGTTTTGAACGTCCATGACCGCCGCGGCGTTGCCTTGTTGGTGTTGTTCTTCCGTTTCGGGTTCGGATTCGTGAAGGTTTTTTCATTCCCTTTTTCCACCTTTTGTGGCATGTCAATGCTCCCCTGGCGCGCAGAGAGCACGTCGCAGTGTTGTTCTCTTTTTTGTAGATAGGTAGGTACCTACCGTAAGTCGTACTGTCGTAACACACCATTAGCACCTGCTGTACTACGGAGTACGGTAGGTATCACGGCGTAGTACGTCAATACCATCTACGACAACCGGTACCGTACGTGGTTTACCGTACCGGTACAGGCTTACGGTAGAAGTACTACCGGTACGTACCTAGTACAACGCTACCGGTAGTAATGTACGGTAACACGTAGCGTACAGCCTTTTGAAGCTACCTGCTCCAAGAGGACATGAAAGAACTACCTACTATGATACCTAACTGTAAGTCGTAGGTAATATTATCATGTGACCATGCGGTGAGTGAAGTGCTCCAGAACAAGTGAGATAAGAGATAATGTCTTGTGGTTCTTCCTCAGGATCACGACCTTTGCTTCCACTCAAGTAGGCCTGGGCAAAATGTCTAGACATGATCATCGTCGTACATTTCCAAGAGAAGCATCCGAGTGTTTTCTACATGCTACAACAAAGCAAACTTCATCGATTCGATTCCTTGAAGGAAACCTTCTTGTTATCCCACATATAATTCCACTGGTTCTAATAAATTGTTAACATGTACCGATACGGTCAAATTCTTTCCTGGTCCAAGAAATCATTTTTGGGTGGATAATCTTCTACGCACACGCAGAGCAAGAATTTCGCCATCTGCAGAACTAAATAAAATTAAACAATATCGCTCATTCGATTCAGTTCTTTGCTCAGTCTACTAACAATAGTTTACTGTTGAAAATGGAACACAACTTGTTTGTTGGTGAGCTTGCTGTATACAGCGGCATACGTTTCGGTTCTACCCTCAACATTGGCTTGGTCTCTGGCATCCAAGTAGACCTTCAAGATTCGCTTTCCATCCGTCTTGACTCTGGTTCGTTTTCCTGTAATCTCGGTAGGGTATACAACATCGTCCAAAATGGCGTCTTGGACGGCCGTCAATGTTCGCGAGCGAGGACGAGGTCCACTGGTCTTTTGGTCGCGTGCATACCCCTTTCCTAGAATGGTACGTTGTCCGATGATCAACACGATGCGTCCCGAGAATTTCTTTTCCAGTTCACGAACGAGCTTTTGGTGGATCTTGTTGGTGGATTTTAGCAACTTGTAAGGAACGTACAAGACAATTGCCTTTCGTCCGTTGCCGCAATCCACCTCCTTGGCGGCGGTGATATAAATATTTCGGAGAGATGCCTTGAGCTCAGTAGAGGTCATCTCCAAATTCAACAGCTCGTTGGCAACTTGCTTTTCGAACTCATCGGGTTCCTGTGGTTCATGAAGAGGAAGGGGTGAGGAAAGAACTCCGTGTTGTTGTTTGTACTGGTTCTTTGCTACCGATAATAAAGTACCGTGTCACCGACAAATCCTCGAAGCTTTCATTATTTACTTACACCGCTGCTCTTCTTGATCTTTTGAACACTCATGTTGCTATATTTATATCAATGGGCTACTAAGTCAAGGTGAATAGAGGGTGAACAACGATGACACTACACGATGTATTCAGGGAGGATGGTGACGAGTAGAAAATCACGGGAGCCGAGATGAGATGATCTTGTTGACTGTGAGTGCTTGGAAAACGAGAAAAGTTAGTAAGGAGGTAAAGTCGAAAAAGGCCTATTCTATGTCTCTCATCATCCTTTCCCACTATCGGTACATCCGTATCATACATCGTTGCTTCAGTCCTACGTAATACGTACAGCGGTCTACCGCTACCAAGGATAATACTGCAGTACTGGTACCGTAATACTACCTAAGTATACCGTAGTCCTACCGGTACGTAGTACCGGTACTTTTACAACGGTAGTATGATAGCAATCCATTATATCCGTAACTATTAACAACGTTGATGTGGGTTTGATCCCCGAGCCCTGATATTTCAAAACAATGCTTCGTTCATCTTCCGTTCAAGACAGCTTTCTTACATCAAATCACAACTTTCGATCTTTGCTGTGGTCACTACTTAGTAAGTAAGTCCAGCTCTAAGAGAATTCGTTTTTCTAGTTGCTTGCAGCTGGTGATTCCACACCACGAGATACGAGGATTTCTTCCCTGGTATATATGTCTTCGTATCGTCTCACTATCTTTAGTTCAGTCGATCTGTCTCCGGTTTTACTACCATTACTACATCCCTGGAGCAACGTCCGGTCGCTCCCTGCAGTGCCTCGCCTTTCAGGGCCCCGGCTGGTGAGTCAACTTCTTAGATACGGAACTACTACCGGGGGTAGCTAGTAGTTGGCATAGCCATAAAATAGATTTCATTATCGATACTGTCCTCACAATCACTAGTCCACGACCTGAGGCATCTCGTTCTTCGGAAGCTCAGAATACGGTCGATGGACTGAATGATCGGCCAGCAGTCGACTGGTACTACAAGTAGTTGTTGCATACCACACTACTTTTTGCAGGTAATGGAAGAGCTGGGCCCAAACTTTGGTGTACTTTTCAGGAGTCGTCATACATAGCGCCCTACAGTCGACGACTAGCATATTGCTTGGAGAGCATGTTCGAGTGTGCTTGCTACAACTGTTGCGGCTCGACTCCGCCGCATTGTCATGACCTGTCAAGTGTGGTGCATCCAACTGATCCGGGGCTCAAAGATAAAAGCAGCTGTGGAGCTATCGAAGAGTCGATAGCAATAGGTGACCCGTCCCCTCCGTTCCAAATGAAAATTGCTCCGGTAGCACCAGCTCAGCGAGACAGTATGATCGTACGAATCCCTCCAGTGGCAACTCCTGACCATGTCGACGTTGGACCAGTGGCAAGTGCCGCAACTCGTGGGTGGCAGACCCATTTGGTGGTTGCTCCTCTTTTTCCTCGAGAAC